AAATCATTTTTTATATGTATAATCAATTTTATTTCTATATTAAGGTATTATAACATAGCATGGTGTAACAGTAGAATAGTAAGAAGCATTGATTACAGCAGGTGACGAAGTGACTGGTGTCAATATGACATGTCAATAGTTAATGAACAGGGAGTATGGTCAAAACAATAAGACGCCAGCTAATTTAGCAACCACCTCAGGTGTGCAGATGTTTGATATACGAGTACAATATGGCGAACATCTGGAGTTACTTTACCAAAACATTACTATTTTTATAAGTAATAAACTTATGGTAAAGAAAAAATACAGTAGAGTCTCGAAAACTCGGCACTCGATAACCCGGCAGTCCGGATAACTCGGTCACACCCTGGCATGGCAAAAAATCCTTACTTAATTAATTTTCATTATAGACAGCTTTATGCCTCATAAAGTATTTTTTTGAGGTCTGTCTTTTCAGGTAAATTACTGTACGCAGTGTATTCATTAATTTTCATTTTCATGTAGTAAAGGCTCTATGCCTTCATAAAGGACGTACTTTTCCTTTGTTTAAGGGTATTTGGGCAGTTTATTCTCTGTTGTATTCTCAAGTAAACAATACATACAAGTACAGTACAGTATTTTCTGAGGAAACACTCATACTTATTTTTTTTAACCCCATTTCCGATAACCCGGCATTTTCACAAACTCGGCCACCCTTCGGTCCACATTAGGCCGAGTTTTCGAAACTCTACTGTATTACGATTTGTCTCTAGCAGAAAGTGGGTAAAATATAGTCGATGTGATCGATATTTTGAAATTTCTTACACGAGAAAACTTGTTAAGTGGATGCGGGAAATTTTAACACATCTTATGGTCATGGGCGTAGCGAGGGGGAGCCTGGGTGGGCACGGCTCCTCCCAGGGAACCTGGTGCCCCCCCCCCAGGAAATCGCAGCCGAAAAAGTGTTGAGTCGATTTGTAAACACCTAAAGCTAAAATAAAAGTTTTGAATACTAAAAAAAAGGTGAACGGCTTGTTCGGTGCCCAATAATGAACAATAATTTGAAATAATTCAATTTTGTGTCAGGTTGGCCTCCACTAGGCCCCCATAACAAAACTCTGGCTACGCCCATGCTTATGGTGTAAATGCCAGGACCTCCGGAGAAATTGGACTTCTTATTCGAGAAAACTTCTTAGGCGGACACTTCTTAAACGAGTTGTACTGTATGAGTTTTTTTTTCAGCTTGCGCTGTTTTATAGAGGGCGTATGTTGTTTCTATTCGTTTATAATGATCGTACCCAATTATAAACATACAACGAAATGATGAATAAATCTCGTTAACTTTTTTCACTTTATTAGTCGATCAACGGCGCAGCACACACACACAACACACGCATACACATTACAAATAGAGGGCGCTGTTTATTAGAATAAATATGACATCTCTGTATATAGCATCAAATACAGGGACGGATTTCGGGAGTGGTAAATCGCTTCACAGACATTTTTTTAAAATTTGTATAATGGGTATCAACCACTAATTGGTTATAATCCTGCTTAATTGTCAGCAGTCTCCAAACTTTCCCTAGACATAATCCATCGGGTATTAATCGCTATTTTAATGAGAACTGATGTTTAAACTATGGTATAACCTCTGCTTAGATCATATTAATTCTTTTTTTAAATCTTAATCAGCATTCATGTAAGGTAGATATTGTAATCGTATCGAATTTTAGATCTTCAGATTTTGATGTAGGCACAAATTGTGGTCTCTATAATACGTTTTTACTTTTTTCGCGATGATATCTGTGTAAATGTACGCACATATATCTTAAAGTTTTATTAAATGGCTTAACATGAAATTTTATATTTAAACTTTTTTTATTAATACCTTTTGAGGCTCGACTCGAACGCATTAATGACTGTATTCACTAACAAACAGTCGAAGTTGAAGTTAACCAATCAGAACTCGTGTACTTAAAGTAAAATGAATGCTGATTGATCGACTTCGAATCAACTCCGTTGGTGGATTCGCTTTAATATTGATTCGACTCGACTTTCCACTTAAAAATGTTTAGTGACACGATCCAGCAGAAAAAAAAAACTCGCTACTATTTAGAAGTATTTTATATCATTTTACATTTTACGTTCCAAAATTATGATGATCTTTTCAATTACAGTAGAGCGTCGTTTATCCGAAAGTCAATTATCCAAAAGAATTCCAGTCGGCAAATTTAAATTTTCGCCAGTGCTGTGGGGCTGCAATCTTTGGCTATGTCTTGAGCTACTCAAATATTTTACGTTTTTGATACTAAATTAACTTCTGAAGTATATTTTTTTTATTGTTTTTATATTTTTCAATATATTTATTTTGTTTGTACAAAATAAAAAAATAATTTTTAACGTTACAATAGTCTTTGTTAGGCTTAACATCGACGAAAATTCAACGCAAAGCGACACGCAACGGAGAAAAATTTCAACATGGGATAGGTTAATATGTTTTTTCGTACATAATCGGTTATCCGAAATATCGATTTACCGAACAACCCCAGTCCCTAATTGATTCGAATAAACGACGCTCTACTGTATTTCCGCAAAGATTACACGAACTGATACTCACAGATTACATCATTGACGATTAAAAAGTTTAGGAATTGGCCAACCATTTGCAATAAGGAAAGAAGATTTACTAAAAACTTTTCACGAAACACGCGACATTATGTAAAATAGATGCTATGGATTTCATAAATTAAACTTTTCAATAAATCTAAGACAAAGTGCAATCTTTGTGGGAGAAATTGCAAAGATCTCATTTTCTCTGAATGCTTCAATGGAGTTTAAAAACAGAATAGACATATTTGTCGAGATTAATGCACTATAGTCTGCCCAGCGAAAGAGCAGACACGAGTCAGTTTCAATGGGAAGCGTCTATATCAGATAAAAAGGGTAGAAGGGAATGTGGGAGTTGGCACACGGATCACGTTAATAAAATTTGTAAAAAGAGTAAAACTAAAAATAATAATAATAATAATAATAATATTAACATTTATGTATCTTCTTCCATCCCTTTCATCTGACGTAGACTCTTCCGGCTCAGGCTATCTCGTGTCTACTCTTTCGCTGGGCAGACTATAATCACTTCTAATCCTAAATAAAATAATCTCAAATAAAATAAAACGCAGAGTCACTAATCCTTTATCAGTGCCGTAATTATCTCTTCGTGCGCCCTGTGTAAGATTTTATTTTTGGCTACACGGTTTTTTTTGAAAAAATGTTTAAAAAAATACAAATATGATAGAAATGATCGGTTAATTTTTAATATTAACCGAAAACCTTAAGGAATAAGCGACAAAATTTAAAATTTGTAAATGAAAATGTAATACAGAAAAATTTTTGATAGTCCGTTTCTGATTCCCCTTTTGTCCTGTGCCCTCTACACCCGGTGCTCTACAGGACGATGCCTAATTATGGCACCGTCCTGAATTTTAAATATCTTCATACTTAATCAATAATGTTCAAATTTGGTAAGTAAGAATCTTCTAAACGATTTATGTGTTAACCAAACATGATAATTTTTTCGGATTTCTGGGAACGCATTATAAAGTCTCTCCAATATGCCTCTGCAGTTAATTCAGTTTTTCTTTGACTTTGTTTTATGGTGTTTTATAGTCGCCCCCTCAGGATTATAATCTTGATTTACTCTCCGATTAAATAAGGGATGCTTTAATTACGATCACGCGGTATTTTAGGACAATTGACTTTGAAATAGCTGAAAGCTCTATCAGAAAAGATGTGTATCAACTAAGTGTAGCTAATTGTTTGGCCCACTATTCACCGAGTGGATGAAACTACCGAACATTGGTCGTGGGTTCGGCCTGGGCAAAGGATTAGCTACCGGGTTTTCTTCAGGTTTGTAACACCTAAATCGGGGTCAGTTTGCCATCATTTTGTATCCAAGTAATGAATTTTAATAGAATTTACATTTTTAATTTAAAAATTACTGACAAAATCGTATGCATATATCTGTATGTTTAATTCATCATATATTATACCGTAAATTCAAAAAATATATTGTTTATAATTAACTTTTTCTTTAGATAAACGGTATAAATGTGTAAATTAATCGATGGCCTGATTTATACGTAAAAGATGCATTCCTTTGTCAGAATAGTGTGCACTTTACGTCAATTTTGTACTTTCCGTTAAAAATATGTAGCAATGACATCAAATTGGCGTAATAAAACTATACTATCCTGAATGTCCTTAATTTAAATAAGCTGCAACTTGGGCCTCACGTTTTCAATTTACTGATATTTGGTAGAAGAAAAGTGCCTCTTATACAGTATATTATAACTTGAAGCCACGACAAATTGATAGAATTGATGAAATAAAGCGATCTGCCAAGGGAATGCCACCTGAGAGAACTTTTATGGCTCTTAATTAAGTGAAGAACAGAAAAATCCAGTTGCTCAGGTGCGAACCCACGATCACCACAAGTGTTCAGTGGTTTTATCTACTAGTGGGACAAGTCTAAATGCGTCCCAATTCATTAAATTATGCCATAATTAAACACGAAAACTAAGCAATCATTGAAGTTCTTACAGTAAAAACATACTTTATTGAAAATTCGTACAAAATACACACATATTTTAAGTTATATATATATATATTTATATATATATAAATTTCGGAACAAACCATATCAATCTACAAATTCACATTCACAAAAACACAATATAAATTGACTATATACATTGTTCGATTATATTATTAAGTACAAAAATTTCATTTAAAAACTTGTATAACAATATAAATGCTAAAAAAATCAATAATAAGCGCTTATGGCCCCTTTTAATGCAAAGACATAAGAATAAATATCGAAAAATTTAATTTAAAAAATAATATGTATGTATATATATATATATATATATAAATTTCTTATCTTAAGAATGCCCTTTTGTTTATAAAAGAATGTTTACAATTATTTTTAATGTATAAAGGAAGAAATTTATTTATTTTTTTGTGTAGAGGATGTTATTTTAATATAAATAATTTTTTAAAAAATTTAATTTTTAATATTTTAATTGAAAATATTGCCATGCAATCGAGGAAAAAATTGCATCTATTTAACTGACCTGATGAATTGGACGGCACTGGACAAATTATCAAATAACATAGATTTATGCACATATCCTACAAATTACATTCATGTTCTTTTTTTAAGTATAAAAAAACATTTTATTTCAATATAAAATTGAAATAAAATTCAATTAAAAAAAATCTATTAAAAAATTTTTTTTCAGATGCCTTCTTCATCTGAAATTTCCAGATTTTCATCTGAAACTTAAATAATAATTTTCATTAAAAATACCCTTTTAAAAATGTCGTGTTTCTTTTATAAATATTATAAGAATTTTAATTAATTTATTTAAATTTTTTAAAAAATTTTATCTTAATTTTAATGTTTTAGAAAAGATTTGGCAGATGGTAGCACAGATTGGATGAAATTTCATTAGTTTCAATTAAGGTATTCTCTGTTGAAAAATCCTGAAAAACGTCTTCAAATTTTATTAAATTTCTGTTGGTTAATTCTTAAAAATTTCCGATAAGTACCAATATTTTGTGCGTTGATGAGAAAATTAATAATATATTGAGCACTGACCATCCGCACTTGACTAGCAGCTGTAACATCCGCCAAAGCCTAAATTAGGATGGCATCCAAAGCAAATTTATGGTGCTTCCACCTGCCAAAAAAGAACTAAAACAATTATTAAATTTAGTTCGCGTATCCATATTTATAATCCAAATCTTCAGGCTTCCAAATATAGCAGTTCTTATAGGGTGCTGGATAACTTGTCATACTTTGCTTAATTGTGTTAACGTAACCTGTTGATTTCAATGGGGAACCATTAGCGTAAGGTTCGCCATTACGTACAAAATTATAAAAAATGTCTTGAATTACTGATTGGTATGCCTTATCTTTTTCGTTTAACTGAATGTAGTCACTAAGTAAACCAAAAATTGCGACGACGTCGATTCCGTGTATTGCCATTTGTAGTTCTTCAGCTTCGTCGCTCCACTTTAATGGTGCACTGGGTACATAATCAACAACATAAGTATATATGCCACTGTTGTTAAATTCTGAAAGCATCTCTGAAAGACTGTGAATGGGGCAAGTAATCCTAATATCCGATACCTAAAAAAAAAAAAAAAAATTATTTGTGTGGTATGATTGGTGCAATGGTAAAAAGCGCTTTATTGTCAATGGCACGTTATCCTATGAGCAAAAAGAGCAATTGCCTGGGCTCCCAAACCAATCTTTTATTACTATAGTAGGAATATCGAAATTTAAACTTAGTGTCATATCTGGGGACCCTAAACTATCACCGTGGCATAGGCGCAGTGCAGAACTTAACTCTCCAGAGATCGAGAAAACCAGAAAGCCAGAAAAATTCCTCCTCAAAAAATATCTGAAGTCAATACTGTACATGGAGCCCTCGAATTCAAATTTGCCCGCGCTCCATGAAGCTATAACGCGCCACTGTGATTGGAGCTCTTTACCATTGAACCAATCAAGACGATCTTTATAAACTTCACTTACCATTGTAGCAAATTCGATTTCAGGATTTGAACCTTCTTTCTTATAAAAATTCAATGTGGTTTCAGTCAGATTCGTACCAAAATTATCTAAATGTTTAGTAACGTAATCAGAAAATTGGGTCCAATTCCATGTATTTTTATCCGGAATTTCGATTTTTGGAGCTAATTCTTGAGCTGTGGAACCTTAAAAAATTGAATGAAATTTCTTAATTAAGTCAGATTTTATGAAAATTAATCCTTGTAATTAACTAAATCGTTACCTAAGACTATAGGAACTTGATTAAGATCTCCTTCTTTCCACATGTTGAATATTGAATCATACAAAATGATTCCTGAAAATTATCATTTATATTATTTTTTAAATATTTAGGAATAAATTATTATTATGTTTAAAATAAAAATTGCAGGGTGTTCTGCTGTAATTCCTTTGCATTACATCAATTCTCCGCACGTTTTTTTTTCTTATTTCATAAATCAATGTTATAAGCAAGGAAAATGTGATGCACGTATGTTNTACGAAAAATCCTGAAGAAGAGAGAAAAGCAATCGACATTAGACAGATTCTTTAACCCATTTCAAACGGAAAAAACATGACTAATAAAAATGCAAGACTGTGTATGTATGTATTTTTATTGTTACATATAAATAAACGTAGTAAGAAAATTTATATATTTTTTTATTTTTGGAAGTCTCCAGAACGAATTAATTAAATTCCCATTAAAACCTATGGTAAATCGATAATCGGTTAACGAACAAATTCTTGGAACGGATTATGTTCGTTATCCGATCACCCACTGTATACTATAACCTATACAAATTTCTTTGATATAATGTACGATGTAGAGTAAGTGAATACTTTTAATAAACTAATAATGGATCCATACAGTATATTATTAAATTGAATTTACTTTTATGTAATTACGTGTATTATATTTGTCGGATATCTGAAAATAGGGTGTGTATTATATGCCGGTGGATCCTCTTATTCGTCAGCATATACGGGAATTATTTTGTTTTGAATGGTTAAAAGTATGGAGAATCGTAATTATAGATATTGTTTCGGCTGTGTAACGTCGATAATTGCTTTTCTTCATACTCAAGTCTCCTTATTATGACAAGAATCGATAAATGCTTTGATGTAAATGGACAGCACTTTGAAAAATTGTCCTAATTTTTGTTTCTTGATTTTAAATATTGTACATTGGCATATTATTATATGCTGTTAATAAAATCGTTATGTTAAAACGTCTAACTGCTCTATTACTTATTCTGCATACATTTATTAAAGCTAAACACAACAAATTAGTCCACACTGGAAGGGGGGAGGAGGAGGTTATGACGGATCAGACAAGGAGGAGGGGGAGATAAAACTTCAATGGACGTCCGTTTTATTTCATTAAAGTTTTTATACAGTTTATGCATTTTATTATTCAAAAATGATAAAGATTCTGAGGGGATTAAGTTTTGTTGGATATCCAAAGAGAGGGGGAGGGGGTTATGGAAACATGGACAAACTGGTGGGAGGGGGGAGTAAAAATTTCAAAAAAAAAAATTGCAGATGTAATTTATGGACAGCCTCTTATACCATTAAGGGTATAACCGTAGCCGGCTTTATAGGGTTCCATGATGAAACTCACCTATAAATAAGCAAAATACTATAACATATTAAAATACAACAAGCAAACAAAAGGAGAAGTCTCGTTATAACTTCAGCAATACGTTCCTCTGTTCACTTTGTAGTCTTTATGTGCTTACACTTTTATGTCTTAGATACCATTTCTATGTATTAGGAAAGAATCCTTGTCTTTAACTAGACCTTTAAAAATCCAAACCTTCTCTGCATCATCTATGTTCTCTTTTCCTTTAATTTCTTGCAGTATACACGCTCTCTCCCACTCTACAACGCTTCTTTCCTTTAGGCCTTCTAAGGAATTAGCAGGGGGAAGCGTCACTTTATATTTTAAATAATGCAAATAAATTATTATAATTAACCATCATGAACTATTAATGTTGGATTAGGTTCTTCATTTTCTTCAGGAAGATCTGCAACTCTTTCTTTAAGCCAAAATTTTGGGATTGCTGTAAATACTTCTTCTTCTGTCTTGTTCATCATACAACTGAGTGTCTCGCATTTGATATTCCTATAAAAATTAATGGAAATAATTAATCTAGGACGTAAATTTGATCTATTTTATACGATTTAATTTAATATATTGACTCAAAAATGTCATAGGACTGCATCTAAATATAAATAAAGAACCTGTCTTTGTTAACCTTATGCAAATTTTCTTGAAGATATCGTGAGGAATGACTAAATGAACGATGAGTAGATAAACAAGTTTTCCAAAAATAGCTATAGTTTAGGTCAGAAGAGTTTAAATATAAAATAATTTAACTGACATTTATAAAATCACCTGTTTATACAGAAAATTTTGACAGTTTTGCCACTTAAAATAATTATTTTTATATAGTTTTTCCTCGTAAATGTTGTGTAAGAACCTTCATTCTTACAAGGTTAACGTACAATAACCTGTTTATACCAGAAAACAAAGTTAATAAATTGATGCTCTTTCACAATATGAAACCTAAGTAAACTGTTATAAACTAGAATATCAATTGTTACAAATTAATTAATTATGGAAACGATTGAAAAAAGGGGTGTCAAGCCTCATAGATATTGCAATTGCTTTGGTGGGATATGGCAACGCAACACGCAACCGAACTGCCAAAGGGGATGTCTTCCGGAAAAATTTTCTATGGAAAACTGGTCCTTACTTAGATGTTAGACCCTACAATAGTATCTCAATTATTTAGAGTTTATAGAAAGAAAAAGATCCCAGTCTAGGAACGTTACTCCTGAGAAATCAAATTCTAGAAAGTTACTCTTTAAAAATTAGATTCTGTAAATACATTTGAGTTTATAATAATTCATTAAACACTACTTCAATTTCTATAATATTTCATTTTTAAGAATCAACGTCATTTTCTATTTCCTGCTCTAACATATTGTTGGTTTAGATGAGTCAGTTCCCTCCATTCCCTTCTGCATTCCAAACTTTGTTTACCTCAAATTCTTGCCAGTTTTCTTCCATTCCCTCAATATTCTTCAGTATTTTTATAGTATTTAATTATGTATTTTTGAAAGAAAGTTCTGTTTTCTCTAAATAATTGCATAATCTAATCCGTAATGGGCATCAGAGATGCCCAGAAGAGAGGCAAAAGGAACAAACTGCTATGGTTCCCATACAAAGGTATTAGGGCCCTATACAATATTGTTTTGTTTACTTGTATAATAAATTTAAAATTACTATATAAAGTCATGAGCTAATTATTTTTAGGTTGGCGGTTGCAAAATTACTCCTACTAACTATCAGTAGGAGTAGATTTTTGCAATGGTCAACCTACATCAACTGAACACTATAATAAACTATAAATAAAATGGAACGGTCTCCTACGTTACTATTATTTATTACGCATCTTGTCCACTTAATATAAATTTATTTTCTTGGAAAATCTTTTAAAGAATAACACGAACCGCTCGTTTAATGTTTCTTTAGCAATTTTTATCACGTCTTTTTGCTTATTAACAATTAAAAAAACCCGAATAATTAATTATACGAAAACAGAATATTCATAATTATTTTGAATATTTGATAAATTTAACTTTACATATCTTTATAATCACGCCTTCTTCCTGATTTATATAATTTTAACGCAAATAGAGTCGAACCTGTAAACAACGACCAATAAAATAGTGGCCTTTATTTTGTTCAAAATTTTAAAAAAAGTTCTTGAAAATTAGCCGTTTTTGGGAGTGGCTGTTATCAGAGGTTCGACGGATTCCAAGAGGAATAGTAATTAGGTTATCTTAGTTAATTCGTAATTTTTAAATTAAAATTAATCTAGGCAGTTAAAAATGAAAATAAGAATAATAAAATAAAATTCTACAAGTCATTAAAAAATACTAATTAATTTTTTAAAATTTATACAATGAAAAATAAAGAGAAAGGAATAATAATAAACTGTAGAATTTTTAAAGGAAAATAAAGTTAAAACAAAAGAGTAAAAAATTAAATTATACTGTAGTATATTTTATTTTTATTGTTTTTACTCGTTTGTTACACTTTCATTAGTTTAAATGAACAATAAACAAAAGCATTAATTGTCGAGTAAATTATTTAAAAGAGTTGTTTTATTGCATTCCTCTTAAATTTAATTATAAAGGATTATTAAATGAAGATGTGAAATGCTTTACAGTAAAAAAATTAATAATAATAATAATTTATTAAGCTGTTATCTTTATTTTTAATATCGGAATGTTTAAAAAAAGTCTAGAAAAAAGCTGGCAACATTGTTAATGGACTTTCTTAACATTCTTTGTTTTCATCCCTGATAATTGCTATCATTACCTTTAAGTCTTCAGATTTGTTCGGGAGATATTAAGAAAGCGGAGGCCATACCTCCCGAACTAAAAGTCCGATTTTCTTGAAAATTTCTATAACTATTTCTCCCTTATACCCAAACCATCCTGCAAAATTTCAACAATTTTTGACAAAAGACACAGGAGTTATTAAGCTTGAAAGTGAGTAAACAAAATCGTGCCCCCCACACACTAACATTCTTACATATCAATACATAAAAAGACCCCCCACTTTTTTGCATTTCTCGACGTTTCGAGGTCTCAGAGTCCAAAAAAGTAAAAATTTTGGCTATAGAATACTTGTTATTTTCTTTTATTTCATAAATTTAATTAATGTTAAATATGTATTATATTGTTCATATTAATCAAGAATACAGTGGATGATCGGTTAACGAACAAATCGGATAAAGAACACTTTCGCGAAAGATTTTTATGTTTGGACAACGAACACATGATCGGATAAAGAACACCCCACAGAACAAACACAAGAAGAAGCGACGTAAAATAATGAATACCGATTGGTTTTCCCTTATCTTCGGGCAACAATTCGAAACTTTTCGGAGTGCAGGAGACGTCGACGTCGACGTCGACGCTCAAGCCGGTATATACCGATCGGATAGTATTCCTCCGAACTTTGAAACTCTCCCTTGTAATTCCAGCCTTTTATTTTTCTGACAAAACAATTCTTATATGTATTCGCGAGACTGTCGGGTAGGCACTCGTTAAGTTTTGCGTCTGTTTTTCTTTTCGAAAGGTGAAAGTATAATAGCAAAGGTAGAGAGTAGGAAGATGATGTTGGGCAATATGGTATGAACAGGTCTACAGTAGACCGCAGTTCAATCTTATTTAAGAAAAATACTGTATATTCAAAAAGACTCAAACAGCTAAAGGGGTAACAAAAATCACGTCTAAGAAATAAAGAACATCGAAAAGTTCATAATGGAACCCGAAACAGATCTGACGACAGAAGAACGCCAAGAACTCTTGAATGAAGAACACCAAGAAACTCGGCAAGATATGTTTTCTTTTGAAAAAGAGGATTAATGCCGATATCTGTTATTAAAGATCCTTTGAAGAAGTGGGAGGATGTCAGAACAACGGTCTTAGAATGGCATCCAAACCAGGTTGAGGCTTGGGGATTTCTACAATTGCAATCCTATTAATTACTTACGAAAAATCCTGAAGAAGAGAGAAAAGCNGAGCTAAGAGCTTGTAATGCTGAACCAATCCCTTCTCATCACTCCTGCTCACTATTAGTTAGTTGGAAAAAGTGAAACTTAATTTTCCTAGTGCAGTGATCTTATTTGGATAGTGTAATTTCTGTTTTAATTCTTTAGCTTTTTCAGGAAACACTACAAAAAGAAAAAAAAATGTATCAACTGTGCAGGCAACACTTGATAAATATTTTGTTTGGTTTTTAAAATTTTTTATTTCATGTTTTATTTATTTATTTATTTATTGGCTACTGTAATTGTTGGTCTAAACATACACTAATCAATTTTTAATGTTATTTTCCATAATTTGTTTTAATTTTTATATGTAACTATACTGTACTCTGTCTAAAATCTTTAATTAATTAATTAATAATTCTTCAATAAACATTTCTTCATTCCCATATTTTTACTCTACTCAAGTGAATATAAATGTAGAAATAATTTCAGATATATTCTTAAAGACCTAATTCACAAATTAATTCTCTTCTCGTTGATTGTTAACTTCAATACTGTATGTGCAATTTCAATTGTATTTTTGATATATGCTGTATATTTTTGGAATCCAATTAATTGCATATATTGAAGGTTACCTATACTTTTGTTTTAAACTCAACATTTACACAAATTATAGTTTACAATCATTTGACAATTATGCAGATTCATTGTAATGCAATACGAGACTAAAGTAATTATCTATTACTCTTAGTCTCGTGAATCAAAATTTTAATATATATGCATAGTCTTTATTATTTATAAATTAGATTTTGACCAATATGAATGTGATTTCATTGAATCACATAATGTTATTACATCATTTTTAATAGTTTCTTATAAAGATTGATTATATCATATATTTAAATACTTATGTTTTCATAAGCATATTTAAATTTTACATAGTTATCCATATGATCTTAAAGCTTGTTATTGGTATCCATGAAATACAGTTATAAATTTTTTTCTGTATTAAACATAATAGTTATCAATAATTTAAGTATTTTCAAAAATAATTGTAGTAATAAAATATTAATATACTTAATATATATTATTTAGTTATACAAAGTACTCTTACTACAGTAACTTAATAAGGACATATACTATACACTGTATTAATTTTCCCTTATAAATTTAGTGTAAATATTAAAATATCTATAATAAATTTTTTTAGTAAATATTCACACAGTATTGGTATCTTATAAAGATTCATCATCTCTGTTTAAGAAAATTTTTTAAAATTTATTTTAAATTATTTTTTCAAATGTGAATTTATGTTTGATTTGAAATACAGTGGTGATCGGTTAACGAACAAATCGGATAACAAACACTTTTGCGAAAGATTTTTATGTTCGGACAATGAACACATGATCGGATAACGAACACAAGAAGAAGCGATGTAAAATAATGAATACCAATTGTCTTCCCTTGTCTTCGGGAAACAATTCAAAACTTTTCGGAGTGTGGGAGACGTCGACATCGATGCTCAAGCTGGTATATACTGATCGGGTAGTATTACTCCAAACTTTGAAACTCTCCCTTGAAATTCCAGCCTTTTATTTTTCTGACAAAACAATTTTTTTATGTATTTGCGAGACTGTCGGGTAGGCACTCGTTAAGTATTGCATCTGTTTTTATTTTCGAAAGGTGTGAGTATAATAGCAAAGTTAGAGAGTGGACAGATGTTCCATGTTTCTGGGTAGTATGGTGTGAACAGGTCTACACAGTTCAATCTTATTTAAGAAAAATACTATATAATCAAGAAGACTCAAGTGGCTAAAGGAGTAACAAAAATCACATCTGAGAAATAAAGAACATCAAAGAGTTCATAATGGAACCTGAAACGGATCTGATGACAGAAGAACGCCAAGAACTCTTGATTGAAGAACACCAGGAAACTTGGCGAGATATGTTTTCTTCTTCTGAAAAAGAGGATTAATGCTGATATCTGTTATTAAAGATCCTTTGAAGTGAGAGGATGTCAGAACAATGGTCTTAGAATGGCATTCGAACCAGGTTGAGGCTTGGGGATTTCTACAATTGCAATTCTATTAATTACTTACGAAAAATCCTGAAGAAGAGAGAAAAGCAATCGACATTAGACAGATTCTTTAACCCATTTCAAACGGAAAAAACATGACTAATAAAAATGCAAGACTGTGTATGTATGTATTTTTATTGTTACATATAAATAAACGTAGTAAGAAAATTTATATATTTTTTTATTTTTGGAAGTCTCCAGAACGAATTAATTAAATTCCCATTAAAACCTATGGTAAATCGATAATCGGTTAACGAACAAATTCTTGGAACGGATTATGTTCGTTATCCGATCACCCACTGTATACTATAACCTATACAAATTTCTTTGATATAATGTACGATGTAGAGTAAGTGAATACTTTTAATAAACTAATAATGGATCCATACAGTATATTATTAAATTGAATTTACTTTTATGTAATTACGTGTATTATATTTGTCGGATATCTGAAAATAGGGTGTGTATTATATGCCGGTGGATCCTCTTATTCGTCAGCATATACGGGAATTATTTTGTTTTGAATGGTTAAAAGTATGGAGAATCGTAATTATAGATATTGTTTCGGCTGTGTAACGTCGATAATTGCTTTTCTTCATACTCAAGTCTCCTTATTATGACAAGAATCGATAAATGCTTTGATGTAAATGGACAGCACTTTGAAAAATTGTCCTAATTTTTGTTTCTTGATTTTAAATATTGTACATTGGCATATTATTATATGCTGTTAATAAAATCGTTATGTTAAAACGTCTAACTGCTCTATTACTTATTCTGCATACATTTATTAAAGCTAAACACAACAAATTAGTCCACACTGGAAGGGGGGAGGAGGAGGTTATGACGGATCAGACAAGGAGGAGGGGGAGATAAAACTTCAATGGACGTCCGTTTTATTTCATTAAAGTTTTTATACAGTTTATGCATTTTATTATTCAAAAATGATAAAGATTCTGAGGGGATTAAGTTTTGTTGGATATCCAAAGAGAGGGGGAGGGGGTTATGGAAACATGGACAAACTGGTGGGAGGGGGGAGTAAAAATTTCAAAAAAAAAAATTGCAGATGTAATTTATGGACAGCCTCTTATACCATTAAGGGTATAACCGTAGCCGGCTTTATAGGGTTCCATGATGAAACTCACCTATAAATAAGCAAAATACTATAACATATTAAAATACAACAAGCAAACAAAAGGAGAAGTCTCGTTATAACTTCAGCAATACGTTCCTCTGTTCACTTTGTAGTCTTTATGTGCTTACACTTTTATGTCTTAGATACCATTTCTATGTATTAGGAAAGAATCCTTGTCTTTAACTAGACCTTTAAAAATCCAAACCTTCTCTGCATCATCTATGTTCTCTTTTCCTTTAATTTCTTGCAGTATACACGCTCTCTCCCACTCTACAACGCTTCTTTCCTTTAGGCCTTCTAAGGAATTAGCAGGGGGAAGCGTCACTTTATATTTTAAATACTGAACAATAAATTAACACGGATTCAAAGCTAAAAGTTATTTTTTAAAATATTAATTATTTAATCAATATTTATGTAAGAACAGAGAAGAGCTTGTAAAAGGAAAATTATTAAAGTCGTAATAAATAAATTTAAATAATATATTTGAGAATTGTGAAGATTTGTATAAACAAAGAAAACTTACTTTAAAAATTCAGAATTTTCTTCATTTGTTTGATTTAACGTCTTGTTTGTAAATTTGGCAGGGAAGCCAGTTAGCCACACACGATGAAACAGACCATGACTCTTTCTCGATGACAAAAGTGCTATTGCAGCTGAATTATGAGCAAAAATTGTCACCTAAAATACACAAAAAAAATAATAAATTTAATTTTTAATAATTTACATTGAATATTTCACAGGATTTCCTATTCACCTTTTCAGGATTTCCACCAAACGCATCGATATTTCTTTGAACCCATTTAAGAGCAGCTAATTGATCGTGCAAACCGTAATTACCGGATATGGGCGATCTTTCTTGTGCAGACAGCAAATCGAGTGTTAAGAAACCAAATATATTGGTTCTATAATTTAAAATTACAAAAACAACATCCTTTTCTTTTGCCAGTCTCGGATGTGGCCTCCAATCTATATCCTCTTCTGTGTAACCTAGCAATGAACTCCCAGGAATATATACAACAACGGGTTTCTGTTTGGCTCTCGATGGTTCCGGTGTAATTACATCTAAATAAAGGCAATCTTCGCTAAAATTAAGTTCACGGCCCTTTATTGGGGCTTGATAACATAAATTTTCTGGATACATGGCGTTGTAAGTATCGGACCAACAATCTCTTATATCTGATACCATTTCTGATGGCTTCCAACGTAAATCTCCAACTGGTGGTAAAGCGTAGGGTATACCTCTGAAAACATAAACACCGTGTTCAATGACTCCCTGTACAGCTCCACAGTCCACGTGAGTGACGGGTGCTAGCCTGACTTCCGGTTCGGAACTGGATTTATTTCCTAAAATGCTAGCCAGGGTTATGGCCACTATTACAAATAACACGAAAATACTCCCGAAAATAACTTGTCTTCGTACTGCTCGTGACTGATCAGTTGTTTTTCTGTCTTTGTTGTCATCTTCTGGTGCTCCCTCTTGATCATCCGTAACAGTAAGTGTGACGTCAGTTCCACTTCTGTTCTTCTTCATTTCATCTTCGTCTTTGTTATTTGATGAATTCTGTATTTCATTTTCTTTGGTGTGAACCAGAAGCTCGGTACCTGCTTCCGTATCTTGAAGATCGGCTTCTTGAATTTTCAACTTTTTTCCGCGTTTAAATAATCTGTAAAAGTAAAATTTTAATTATTATTTTAGAAAATTTTACACTAAATTTACAAACAAATTTCACATTTTATAGATCTTATACATTACATAAATTTGCATTTATTATAGCACTTATGGGTAAATTGTGAATGCCAATGCTCAAAGATTAATGTGGTTATACTGTATTTAATTATAATGTCAAGTAAAATAAATTATAATAATGGCGAATAGAATACTGGAGAAGAAATTTTAACCATTAATCTCTCCTTCAGAGATTTTTATCTGAGAACATTTGTCTTCATTTAAACATCAGAATTCTTCTAATGATATAAGTTAATTAAAAATTAATGATATAAATGTCACACACATTCATTCAAACTGAATTAAATCGTTTAAATTCTAACTTTATTAGAAGTTCTTTGCTGCTATGAATCGATCTGGATTTTTATGTTTACTTGAATACAGACGGAAACTCCGTTTTCCCTTAACCATCCTCCAATCAATCTAAGTTACCCCAAGTCACGTATCCATAATATCGAATTGAAAAGGGAAATGTAACCCACACTGAAAACCACGCCAAACTAAAAACGATCCATTCCAATTTGGTCACGGGCTCGCGCTTCACCAGCGAGCTGGCCACCTGGAGTTTCCCGGATTTTCTTTACGTGACTAACACCTAAATAAGAGTCAGTTTCCCATAGAAAATCCATCCGGGAGGCATACCCCTTGGCAGATCGCCCTTGTGTTGCAGATAGTTCTTGTGCTGTGTGATTGGTTGGTTATTCGATCGAACACCCAACTAATGCTCGTAATAACTATAAGTTATGCTCATAACATTACATTTTCTTAAACTATGCTCATTATACAGTACAATATGCATAATACTAACATTGAATATTGTGTTTATAAAAGAATGCGTGGCCGGCGCACGGTAAGATGCGATCATGACTCCGGGTTCGAACACCGTTCAAACAGCATACTTTATTATGGGTAGCCATAATCAAGGTATCGTCTCCCATTTTTCAATCATTTTAATAGACCTCGTAGCGGATAAACCCACGATAATGGATGCAATGTGTCCTGCCGTATGGCTTATAGTATAATATATTGGTGTAATATATTATAGACTATAATATATAGTAATTATATTCTAAATAAAATATATTTTGAATGCCTTTCTAATTTAGGAAAAGAAATCTGTTATATGTTAGATGGCGAAGTTTGATGATGGCATTCCTGACAGGGCAAATAGACTAAAATAGAACTGTGAGGGGAGACAGTTAATAATAATAAAGTAGTTTTGGATTTGGCTTTTTTTTTTACTCTAAAACTTTGGAATTGTGTAGAAAAATACTAATCGATCCTGTAAATTTGAATTTATAAAATAATTTCTATGCTTCATTATGGATATTTGAAGCATTTTTCGAATTGATTTCTGCATTTTGTACTATTATTAAGATTTAAAAAATTGGGATTTTTTAAAGAAAATATCTTGTCACATTTAACTTTATAAATTTCTAATTTCTCTTTTATTGATTACTAAGAACAGTTTTTTTTTTTTTAATTAAACCTTTCTTATATTTTGAGGAGGATAACGTGTCGTAGCATTAAATATAATAAGAAGAATAAAGAATGTAGAATTAATTTCTTATGCAGAACACAATTATATAATAAATGAAATTCTATAGTTTTGTATTTCCTTTATTTCTTGGATTTGGTTTGGTTTTTTCTTTACGGCAACGCGACACTGCCAACGGGAGATGCCTCCCGGGAGGACTTTCTACTGGAAAATGACCCCTATTTAGTTGTTACTAACGTGAGGAAAACCCGGAAAAGACAACATGGCCGACCGGTTGGCCAGGCGCAAACCCATGACCAACTACCAGTGTTCATTGCTTTTATCCACTGGACCATTAGTGGGCAATCTTCTTCTTGGAATAAAGAATTTCAAGTTTACAACTCAAATTTTTAATTGTAATCTACTTTTATCTATTATTTCATTGGATATATAATTCACAATTAAGAAACCTTAACCAAACTTTTGTATTTAAGATTCTAATTTGCTTTAACATTGGCCTGTGGACCTATGGGTGTTGCTTTCCCGTCTTGTGGGCATTAAGAACGCCTTTTAAACATACTCATCAGATCAACAATATGAGTAGCCGGATGGTGAGGGACATGGCCCGACTTTTCATTGACAATCCCCCGAAGAATTTTTAGGGTTGTTCGACTCTCGGGTTCGATTCCGGTTCCCCAGGGCAGTTTACTCGATCTTTATGCAAATTTCATCCATCCAAAGATGTTATTTAGCATCATTACGTGCAGATTCAGATAGAGTCAGCAAGTCCAAGTAGCCCTATCTATCTGATTTTGTATATAATGATATACTCAGGTGGACCAGCAAGATCAAATGATCCTGATGGTCCCTCTACTTGGGACATCAAAATTTAGTTTTTTATATCAAAAATATAATTCTAAGACCTCTTTTTTATACAAATAATGATAAATGATTATGAAAAGTGAAATAATTCTGAAAGGAATGGCACAATTTCTTAGTTTCTCACGTGATTATCACTTATCCAAAAGGTGTCATTTCCTGTTTACTTCAATAATTTGAATAAAAATGTCATTTCCTGTTAACCTTAATAATTTGAATAAAAATTAAATGAAAACGGTGAAACTAAATGCAAATTATGGCGTGGTCAGAGTTTGTTGGGTTCAAGGTAATCACTTTAAACTCTTCTTTGCATTTAGACCCTATCATAATTAATATAAGTTATATGTTACTTAATAACGCATTTTAAGTTCGTTTTGAGTTGTATGATCGATAAAGATGCATTTATTTTGTCAGAATTGTGTACGCGTTAACGTAAGTTTGACGTCATTCCTATACTTCTGTAATGGGGTGGTTTAAAATTACGTCAAAGTAAGGTAGTAAATATACACCATTCTAATAAAAAGAACGGTGTATAATTACTACCTTAATTTGATCTTAATTTTAAAATATATATGGAAATATTTATTATCTTAACTACTTATAAATTAAGTATTCCATAGATTTATTTCATTAAAGAAAACTTTAAACAATAATGAACACTTCTAAACAGCGGCCATTTTTTCAGGAAATTTTGTTTTTGAACAAAAACGCAAACAGAATCTCTATACAGCGGTTTTTTTAATGCTCCCGTCAGTGTCAGTTGTTCAGAAATTTGACTGTAGTTTTACATTTTAATTATTTCTCTAAAAACGTATTTCAAAAGTTGTAATAAGGATTTCCTCCTCGTCCATAGTTTACCTCACTTCTTCGGCGGTTTCTTTGACCAAATTAGAATTTTTTTAAATTAATTTTTATTTTTATATATATTTCTGTGCTGTTTTATACAAGATATAACAATGTTATAAATTCTAATATATTTTTTACTAGTAGATATGTCGGGGCGAAAAGTAATAAGGACAGGCATTAAAATTAGTTAGGACATTAAAAGTTTGGTTATTTTAGCCTACCATTGTTACGATTATCACGAAGTGTCAAGAGGAGGAGTGAGGTAAACAGGTTCATGGTAGCCTACATTTCCCGCAGGGTCCTAGAGAGTAACTGTGAAAAATTTAGTGCAGATTGGTTAAAGAGTTTAGGAGTTGAGAGGGGGATGAAATCAGAAGTGGCCAGGTGTTATGTTTGCTTATGTTTTCTGCAGAATTCTGTTCTAGAGAGTAACTCGAAAAATTTTGGTGCGAACAATCAAAGAATCGGTTAATAAGAGGGATGAAATCAGGAGAGGAGTGGGATGTTCAAGTGTCATGGTAGTCTATATTTCCCGCAGAGTTTTAGAGAATAACTCGGTCCAGATCGGTAAAAGACATTTTATTATATATATATATAATAAAATACAGGAAAAAATTTACAAACTTCATACCATTTAACTGAATTTTTTTTTATTTTTGCAATTTAAATTAACTTGCGATCTTTATCCATAATAATTTAGTTTTAATGAGATGTTTATCATAAAATGATTGAATTAATGCTGTACATAATAATTATTTATAAGGAAATAAAAAAAATTACTTGATTAATCTTTCATGATACTTAGCATCTTTGATGATATCTTTTAAAAGCTGAGTCAAATAATGGAAGAATAATTAAGGATTCATTTATTCTCTTAATATGATAACCTATTTTATTGCTTAAGAAGTGCCTGTTTATCAATTTATCTCATCAACAATCTCCATTCTATAACTTATATTGGATAAATTATTTAAACGGCTCTTATCTTAGACTCATGATTTCTGTAAGCGTAATTATTCGGTTATCTCGAGATATATTCTTCGAATATATAAGATATATTAAGATTTCTAGATATAATATTGTCAGTTAAATCTAATTTGTTGAATCCTTATTGTTTTTTTGGGCATCACTTAACAATAGGCATCAACAGTAGAGCAAAATCGACACGTTGAATTCCTGTGTTACCGTTTGTTAGTTCAGCAGTAATATAAATTTCTTACCGAATATTCACTATAATATATTTTTAGAAAATAATTTAATAAACTAACTTTTTAAAAACTTATTACAGGTATGGCCATAGGCAATTTAGGGCCTGATATTATCAGCAGCTTCAAATACACACACTTTATTGGTTATTAAGAATCAAATATAGCCTATAAGATTTATGAATTAAAAATTTACAATATTTTGCTTCAATATACATCACAATTGATTTAAATAAGACAGATAAAAAGAAAAATGGTAGAAATTTCACTTTAATTGCACGAAATTTTTCGAAATTCCTTAATCTTTTCTGACTTTGCAAAGGGAAAAGTTTGATATATAACTCAATAAAATTAATTTATGTTAGATTAATTTTGTAAATAATTAGGAGTTTAATAGAGATAATACAATAATACATTTAGAATAAATTTTTTCGCTGAAAATCCAATTTAAAATTTAAATTAACACTGTATAAAGTGAATTAATTTGTTGATCTTTTCAAAAGATTTTCCAGATAAATATATATTGCAACG